GATTTTTTCCTTCTTTAATTCAGGTATAATATCATTTCTATGAATATCATTTACTTTATTTTTGTATGCTTCATCATTAATATACCTTTATTAAGATAATTTTTATTCATAATTCTTTTTGGCCTCTACATACCATTAATTATAAAGAACAATAGCACATTCTCTTAAAGTATCACTAATTTATCTCATTTCACTATTTTCTTAAAATTCTTAATTGGCACTTTTAAAAACTGTTCCCAATTCATTCCAAAATTCATTATTAGTTTTATATTATCCTAAATATAAACGATTATTTATGGTGCCAAAATCAAGGATGGTTTTGCATTCTAAAAAATATACTCCATAATGAACTTGATTCCTACTAAAATTGAGTAAATGAGACATCACTTTGGTTAGACTTTCTGCCCATTTACCTTTCATTTCAGATCCCTTTTTTGGATGAACAATTGGAAATATTTCTGTACATGATAATACTCGATCAACTTCTTGAAATGCTGGATCAAAATATTAAGCATCAACAATTTCTTCAAATTCTTCCATTATACGTTTATCAAACACTTTATTAAATCGGTTGATTTTCTACTTTCCATTCTTCTAGTTAAGAATCTGACCATTATGAATAAATTCAACATACTCTTAATTCATCAAGCCATTCTGTATGGAAATAACTTCTGTCTTTATATTTAACCAAATATTAAATAGTCCCTGTATGTGAGTCAGTTTTACGCCACAAAATTTGATCAATCTCAGGAACGAATATACGCCTTGATTCACTTTCTAAGGTTGGTTCATTCATTGACTCTTCTTCCTCACTCATTGTAGCTGCATAATTTCTCTTGATCGCTCTAGCAGACCGTCTTTCATTACTAATTCCATTTTACTCTTCACGATAGTTTTCTTCTTCCATTAAGTTGTACCTACTAATGTACCTAACATGTTATACTTTCTCTTCTACTTTTCTCTTAGTCTATCTGATTGTCTATTGGTTGGGTCATTCTCACTTTCTAAATCGCTCATTTATAAAATAATAAGGGACAAAAAGGTAAAAAAAACTATATGATAAATTTTCTTTCTATTTTTTTGAATTTTAGATATATAGCCTTATAAATCGGCGCCCATTTAATTTTTTCATATATTCCTATATATACAATATTGTTATAAGTTCATTTTAAACAATTCTAGTTACTCTTTTCATATTAATATTTTTATGGATCCAAATACTAGAATGCAAAAAATTTATTATAAATACTATAAAATTCACTTTAATTCAATAATCATTTCATAAAAGAACGCTATTATTAGCAAATTGCAATAACAAAAATTGATGGTCTTTTTGCATTAATAACAAATTACTATTAGAATAAATTTAATGATTATAAATGATATCCTATAAGATTCAATGATATTCTATTCTAAAGTAATAAAATCATGTTTAGAATACCATAAAAAAAGGTGGATAAAGTAAATCTAAAATAAAGAAGTTATATACTATTAATTGATTTTATTTGAATATGAATATTACTAAAAGCAAATTTCCTTTCAATTAAACCAAAAAAAAATAACAAAATTTAAGGCATTTTGTATTGAAGCAAAAAATGTGGGATTTTAAAAGTTTAGAATGGTAATAAATCTAAATTTAAGTAATTTAAAGCAACAATTCTTGATTTATACATTTACTTAATTTCTATCTTAAAATATTTTTAAAAGTTAAATTAGATTAGTTACCATCAATTCAGATTGATTTAATCTAAGTATATTCTAGAAAAATAAAATGAATAAAAACTATCTTTTTAAAATATGATAATGCAATATAAATGTTATTACTTGATTGATATATTATTTCATATATAATAACATTTTCAATTAAATCTAATGAATAATTTATGACTATATGAGTTTATTAAACATTAGAGTTGAAATGAAACCATTAATTCTTTGTTAATAATGATAGAGTTAAGAGTTGATAATAAGTAATTGCAATTAATAGTATAAGAAAATAAATCAATATTATTTAAATAAGTTCGATTATTGAATTAAATTTTAAATATTAATGAATTTATGATATATCATAAAAAATTTAAAAGATTTAAATATAATTTATTAATCAATGAATTTGACTGATTGGTAATAAATCAATTCTTTTAATAAAGATAATATTATGAGTAATTCATAATCTCAAAATATCAAAGTGCATATAGAAGATAAAAAAGAATTAAGTTTTTCATTAATGATAAATAAATACAAAAATGAATAAATAATTGAATAACAAATCATTACATATCTGCAATTCTCCATAGAGCATTTGCTTCTTCTAATTTACAGACTGATACAATATGCTGATTTTCAACCTTACTTTATTAAGGCTAAGTATGCAAATATAGTCCAGTACTTATATGTTTAAGTTCTTTTATATAATAATAATAAATACTTATAATTGAATATTATTTGATTTCTTAATCATCTGATATGATTTCCCATTCATCCATATCATGTTATAAACAACCTACTTCTCCAATATCATTTATAGTTTGCAAACATTTTAAATAAGACTGTGTAATAGGATGATAAATATGAATTGTATTTTTAATCCATATAAATTGCCACCAATCATATTCATAATTACAATTATTACAAGTACTTACTTCATTCGATTTATTGTGTTCATGTTTGATTGCATGAGAATGTAAATATCTTTGAGTATGTAAATTATATAATTTAATTTAATGATGCTTTTCCATCTTGAGTCCCAATGGCAACCTAATAAAATTTATAGTTGCACTATGCTGAATTTAAAATTAAGAATTTAGTTCAAATGAATGATTTTGATCTTATTCAGTTTCTGGGTCTTCTTTTATAATTATGCTTTCAACTTAATTCAATAATTGAGACTTAGCTCTTTTATGAATTACTTTTTAATCTGAAAAGTCTTATTCAAATATTTCCTTTCTAGGACAATCAGAAATAGAGGAACGAGAATTCTATTCTTTAAAACAATTTCCCATTATTATATAAATATTGATAAACAAATTTATAAAATATTAAATAGTACAGATCAAAACATTTTAAAGTTTTTTTTGGAGAATTAATAGATAAATAGCTAAGATATCTTTACTATATTTGAATTTAAATATTAATTTCTGGTTGCTATGATTTAATTTCTAAATATGTATATATCATTCTTTTTTTGAATTGAAAAAACCAAATACCGGAGCATCTGAAAAGGCTTTTTTCAATTCTGGGGGTGGGGGCATAGATGATGTTGATTATTTAACAGGAGAAGATGGTTTTAAATTAAATTACATCTACTACTTTTTTTAGGTGTTATTATTGGTATTATTGATATTTTTGGATTGTACAATAGGTTTGTCATTAACCTTATTTCTTTGATTAGGTCTTTTGCCCTTTTAATATGGTTCTAGAATAAAATATAAAATTAATACTTGAATATGCAAAATCATAGAGATCTTCATTCACAACCTATTCTGAATCTTTTAATAACTTTAATTAATTAAATATAATACATCAACTAATTATTTGGCTATTCTGGGATCCATTGTATCCAAAGTAATCATAGTTATACTTCTTCCTTTATCACCAGCTCTTCCTGTTCTTCCAATCCTATGAACATAATTATCAATTTAATTAGGGAAATCATAATTGATTACTAAACTAATGTCTCTAACATCAAGTCCTCTTGATGCAACATCAGTAGCACATAATAATTTACATCTTGAAGATTTGAATTCTTTCATGACATAATCTCTTTGTTATTGAGTCTTATCACCATGTAAAGACATGCAAAAAAACCCATGTTCAGTCAAATAACTGGATAAGTCTTCACAGTCTTTTTTTGTTTCTACAAATATCAAAACTTTATCTTTTTTTGATAATTCTTCAAGAATATAAAGTAATCTAAATTTAGATTTTCAATTTTATACTCTTCCTATTTTTCATTTTAATATAAACAAATAGTTTCTTAAGTGATATTTTTGTTAATGGTAACTTCTTAACTTCCAATATATAAATTAATTGGTTCATTATGACATAGATCACATGCTAAATTTTATACTGTTTTTGGCCAAGTTGCTGAAAAGAATACTGTTTGTCTATCTTCTCTAATATAGCTATCGATTTTACGAACCTGTTATTCAAATCCCATGTCTTTTATATATAAATTATTATACCAAGCATCCTATCTGCTTCATCTAACACCAAATATGATACATTATGTAGATTTGTTACTTGAGCATCTAAGAAGTCAATTAATCTTCCTGGAGTTGCTACAACAATATCAGGATCTCTTGTTAATGCCAATTCTTAAGGTCTCTTATCAGCTCCACCATAAATACAGGCTGAATTCATATTGTATGCTTCAGAAAAGTAACTAATATGCTCTAAAAGATGTGTTCTTTTAATACCTTAAATTTGCATTGCTAATTCTCTAGTAGGCACAAGTATTAACATCATCGGACCTCCTTTTTTACGTTAACATTCTATATGAACAAGTCCAGGAAGAAGGTAGGCAATTGTTTTACCAGATCCAGTTTAAGCAATTCCTATCAAATCATGTCCAGACATAATTATTGGAAATACTAAAAGTAATTATAATAATCTAAACCTGAAGCTTGGATTGGAGTGGGTTTTTAATAGGCCTTAAGTGATATACGTTTATTCAATTGATTTGGAAATTAACAATCTTTCCACTCAATAAAAGGTTGGGGCACTTCGATTTCATTTGATTCAACCACAATTTAATGCTCCTCAAGATACTCGCCTACTACAATGTCTTCATAGATTCTCTAAGTCGGGTCAATAAAGACTTTCTTTATAGGGGTCGAGTTGACTAATGGTCTAGTCTATGGATTGCGATTCAAAAGCATTTTTTTAATTAAGCAATTTATATTTTTTATTAAATTTCTTTATTGAACATCAAGAGCAATATTTTGATTATTCTATGATTATCTTTATTAAAAATAAGGTTGATGATGTCCACCTTTCACCTTGGATTATGTTGCCCTAAAGCGTTTCCTCAATTATCTCAGAGTCTTTCTGATTTGGTCTTGATTATTGTACTTTTATGTACTACTTCACGCTACTGCTCTTAATTAAGATTTTACTTAAAGGTTTTAAAGGTTATGAGAGGATTATTTTTATGTAGACCTTATACATTTGAGTTCTATATGACCTTATATTTTTAAATCCTTTAAATATTCGCTCTAAGGGCAGCTGTGTAGAAGCCTTAAAATGTTTCATAGCTGGTTCTTTAGTTTTCTTCTTATCAGTATTATTGCTTTTTTTGTATTTGTTAGTGTACTAAACTTATTTGTTGTATTCATTTTCTGATTTTTTCTAGTGTTTACTTAAATTTTTTTAACTCCAATTTTACCCTAGATTCAAATCAGGACAAAAGTTTCTTATGAATTGATAATCAATCCCATCCAAGAAAGATATCTTTTAAGTATTCTGAGGATATCCTTGAATCTCCTTTCTTCTCCACATTTAAGTTTATCAGGAGCCTTTAATTTACATGATTTATCAAGGACTACATAGAAAACATCAAAAAACACCTCGAAGTCACTATTTACTTGGTACTCAGGTAATAAATTTGTTGATACCAGCAAAATCCTGTTGTTTTGTTTTACTATTTAAATGGTTTATTAATTAATTATTAAATATTAATATTATTATGTAAAAAGAAAAAAATCAATCTTAAGTGCTTTCAAAAAGATAAAGCGTAAGTCCTTAAAATTAAATGCTTCTAGATTCACCTGGATATGAAAGATATATGAATAATTATGAATACGAAATGTTTTTCAGATCACCTTAAAACATTTATGAGATGGATGTTGAAGATATCAATCCTCCTAATCTATTTAGATAAATCTCTAGTTTTGTTTTATATGACTAATAACCTTCAAGGTTAAGATCAGGTAGATCATATAGTAATGCAAATTAAATTTAAAAGTAAGACCTAACTCAAGATTAGCAAGAATTTAATAAAAGATTTGGAGAATCACAGGATAAAGAATACTTAGAGTTGGATAATAAAAAATAGAAGGATGTTAATTCTCCTCAAAATTAGAAGAGTTTGGATAATTAAGCATTTAAAATTAAAAAAAAGAATTTTAATTAATTCAGTGAAAAATAACAACAGCCTTGTAATTGTAAGAATAGTGGATGTCTGAAAAGATATTGCAGATGTTTTCATAGTGGAAAAACTTGTATAGAAGAATGTTAGTGTTCAGATGGATGTTTGAATAATGAACATAATTTATATGAAAGAAACAAAGCAATTAAACATGTAAATGAAAAATGCTATAGAAACAGAAAGGTTCCTAGAGATACTTTATTCAAATTGGATGTAATATTTGGATGTTCTTGTACGAAATCTAAATGTAGAAAAAGATATTGTGAATGTTATTTAAGAAATCAGAACTGCACCCAAAATTGCAAATGCTTCGATTGTTGTAATCAACCTAATTTTAATAAATGAGCTGGTCTAATATTAAAGTATCTGACTTGTCCATACCGATTATTTTATATAAATTTAATTTATTTAATTATGTTGCGGCTATATTATTAAGCGTTCAGCAAATTAATTAAAGTGGATCGTTTAACAATGACTCCACATTAATATTGGATTGCTGCTGGTAAAGGAATGGAACGCCCTTATACTGGAGAATATTGGTTTGTAAATTTAATAACCTATTTCATCAGAATCAAGAGGTTGGTACATATCACTGTAAACATTGTGACAATCAATTATTTTCATTTGACACTAAATATAAATCAACTACAGGATATGCATAATTTTGGAATCACATTCCTAATAGTGTAAAATTAGAGGAATCTAATGTTAAAGTATTAATATTAATTAATTATTATTTTAGGAAGTAAGAGATTTATGTTGTGCTGGATGTGACAGTTTTGTTGGAAAGGTCTCCTTTGATGGACCCCCTCCAACATTCATAAAATATAGTATTAATTCAGCTGCCTTAAATTTTAAATTGAAACCATTTTAAGAAGACCCATACTTTAGAAAAATTGCAAGAAAAGAAAAATAAGCATAACGTTCAAAAAAAGTAGAACATAATTATTTAGAAAGCAATAAAAATTTATGATTTATAACATTTATATATTATTCAAAAAAATATATAGAGTAATCAAAACCATGTAGGTTGATATTAAATTTATAAAAATTCTAGAATAAATATATGTTTCTATATTTATCATATTATAAATAACTCAATAATAAGTACTTTATAAATTGATTATAATTATAATATAAGTTTAAAAGATGCCTTAAGTTTATGTGATAATATATAACAGTATAGTAATTATATCTTAAGAATATCTGAAAGTGAAACATAATGATAAAATATTCATAATTTTTTATGAAATTCTTTTATATTTCTGTCATATAAAATAACAATAAAAAATAAAATTAAAATAACAAAAAAAAAATAAAATAATCTATAATTATATTTCAAATTTATAAATTTAATTTAATATTGTCATTCTCTCTTTATAATACTTATTATTTCAAATTTTATTTGTGTATATCCCATGATTCTATCAAAAATGTATATATTATTGGAAAATATAATTCTAGCTAATCATCCTATAATATAATGTATAAATATTGAATAACACTTTTGAGTTCATTTTTTAATTGACTAAAGTGATAATCAGAGTATCGTTTATTTAAACGTACAATACAATGCTTCAACTTACAACTCAGTATAATTAATTGATTTAAATTATAGCGAAGATCATCAGGAATATCGATAGATAAATCCAATTATCTGACAATATTAATGAAATTCTCTGCAATCATAATATGCAATTTGATTAAGTTGATTTTAGAATTTTGAGGTTTATGATTGTGGGAAGAACAAACAAATCCCATTTAAATTAAATTAAAATTATTTAGATTATACTAATCAATATTAAGTGAAACACTTTATACCAAACATAACAAAACTTTATATAATATTTAAACATTATGTAAATAATTTTTGTATTATTTTTTATATGAAAATATTTAAATATCAAATGTTATTAATTATCATCATATAATAAAAATATATGAATGAAACTTTTAGATTTCATAAGTTAATTTAAAATTTATGCTCTTTAAATAATAATATGAATATGAAAAATGTATGTTAACAACAATAATATAAATTTATCTTAAAACTAATTTTGATCTTAGAAATTTATTAATAATCTATAAGCAGTTGAAATCTACAAAAATATTTGATATTTCTTATTTGATTGTTTTTATATTATAATAGAAACTTAACAATAAATATAAATGAATTAATTAGAAATTTGTGATTATTCAGATTCGTTAATTAAATTATAATGATTGCAGGACAGATAATTGAATTTTTCTGGTTAATGATTAGTTTAATATTATTTGGCTATGCAGTATTGTCAAAATTTAGATGGAATGAGAATATACATTAGAATCCAAAGATTAGAATGAATAGCTATAAATCATAGAATTTACCAAGAAATTAATTTGTTATTGAAGGTAAATATAATTTAATTTTTAGAGGCTGAAGAACAATAGTAATGTAAAAGTGAAGAGGATCTTCCATAATAATAATAATAACAAGAGGTAATCAATTGAAGTGAGTAATTTAAGAATTAATCAATAGCATAAATTATAAGACCGAAAGTTAATTATATAATTAACATTCATTTCTTATTATTATCAATAGCCATAATAAATATAATAAATGGAGGAGATAATATATTTTTGTTAATAATGGTAATCTTATATTTGATAAGTATAATTGTGATAGTAGCTAAATTAAAAATGAAATGGTTATTTATTCCTTAAATAATGATTTTGGCTATGATGATAAACTACTTGATAGTTATATGATTATAATATATTCATTTAGTAAATTTTAACAATTCTATTAATATTTCCTTAGATAACATATTAATATCTTGAGTATTCAGTATCTTCTATTTGTTATCAAGTAAAAAAATCATAGCATTGGCTTTTAATTCTTATGCAGAGAATTTATCAGCCAAATTAACAACTTCTATCACATTTTTTAATGAAATGTTCTTAATCTAAATTTAATTATATTTTAATAAATACTAAATGATCTTCACATAAATTCTTAAGTCTCTACAACATATATTTATCTGCCAATGCTAATAAATCATAAACAATATATGAATCAATTAAAACTTCATCTGTATAAATGTACTATAGGATTGCTAAATTATATAATTATATATGAATACCCTTGAAAACATTAATAGTTGTTTCAGTAATAACTAATTTATCACCTAAATTGAATTATTCATTTAAAAATAATGTTTTAAAATATTCACAACGAGATGCCAAAATAATCTTATGTGCATGAATTTCTTGATTATCAACAAAGAATGTAATATCACTTAATATAGGAGAAAATAAAATGCTAGAAAAATCTTATTTAAGTGTTGATTCTGCTAATTTAATAGTTGACTATTATTTAAGCATATAAACATCATTATATGATTTCTCACTATCATTACCTCCAAAAATTACTATTGTATTCTTATAGGCAATAGCAGAATGTCGACATCTAGGTCTTGGGGGTGATGATTGTTATGATGATATATTATTCTCTTTAGTTTAACCTCTAAATTGTGGTAAAACTTCTTAATCGTTTATTACAATATATTCCCATTGATTCTCAATAATATTATACATGAAAACATCATTTCTCCATTATTATCCATCATATCCTCCAAATAAATAAATCTTATTATTCATCATTACAGCAGAAGCACTCACTCTTGGAGATGGTGTACTTCCCTTTGGTTATAACCTTGTCCATACATTATTTCCTATATCCAATTAATATAAATCATTTAATTAATGAGATCGATCAGGTTCACCACCAAAAACATAAATTTTATGATCGTAAATTACAGAACTATGTTATAATCTACCTTAAGGTTTCTATCCTGTAGTATCTACTTATGCCCAATAACATTTAACTAAATCAAATTTGTATAGATCACTCAACCACATTTTACCATCTCCTCCTCCAAAAATATACATAACATCTCCACAAATATTTGCAGTATGAAACTGTCTCTTTGGAGGAGTATTCTCTGATTTTACATATTACCAATCAATACAAACAACATTCATTTATTCACTCGGAGTCATCATAATAATATCATCTAATACTGTATAACCATTCCATCCACCATAATATATAATCTTATCATAATAATTTTAAGCACTATGTCCCATTCTAACATCTGGTATCTAACCACTTACCTTGATTTAGGATGTCCAACTAATTATATTAATGATGCATTACTTTAATCTTTTTAAATCCAAAATATGAATATCATTACAGAACTTCTTCCTTCCTTCTCCTTCTTTGCCTCCGAAGATTATCATATAGTGTTTAAATGTTGTAGCTGTATGACAATTTCTACAAGTTGGCAATTATGATGCAGTAGTTGCCTTAATATTTTCCCATTCGTAACTAGCAAATGTAACTAATAATTTATCATTTGGTCTTACCATCATCTTCTTTATTATCAGTCATTTCCGTCTTTCTAATGCAATAATCCATTTATAATTATTAATATTGTTTTTATAATTAATACTCAATTAACCTTAATCTTTTATATTCTCTTGTTTTTTAATCTCATTATTAAATAAACACTTAAACTTATTATTATAGTGGCTATCCATGGAATAGATATATAATATGGTGTATCAACATATTAAATATTTCCAGCATTCTTTAAAAATTTTATGCTAATAAATGTTTCTGCAAAGAGAGTCCAAACAACTAAATATCTGCATTATCCTGATTATTCTTTATTTCCCTTCAAGTCGTTCCATTACTCTTACCAACTTAATACTCCCATTCCAAACCAAACAAATAATCTAAATGATACCATCCAACATTTAGGTGGTACCCACAATTAATTCATTAAGAAAAATCCAGTCAAGAAATTTATTGTCACTGCTAACCAAGTACCAAATGATGCTCCAAAATACTTATAATCATGCCAAACTAACCATTAAGTAAATGATTTATCCTTTCTACCCAACCAATCAAATTATTCAATTCCTAATTTCTTACTAACCCACAATCCCAAAAAGATAAATAAAGTATTACCAATTAATACATCTAATAATACATGATCCCACCAACATTCTCTAAAATGAGGTAATATATGTTGCCAAGATAATTCAATAACTTCATCAAATATTTACCAGAAATTCAATAACCATGCATCTCTCAATAAGAATGCCAATAAAAACCAATTTAAGCAATGTAATAAAAAATAATGATCCAAATTATCCACTATATTAACTAATTCAAACTCACAATTATCATCATAAGTGTGCATATCTTTTGTTACAGATCTACCCAAACTCTAATCACCTAATTTCATCAATTATCTTGCTTCTATTTCATTTTAAAATATTAGAAATATAAGAAATGCATTATAACATACACCAAGCCAAAACATAAATCTCCAATATCCTATAAACCGTTTTATTGGACCATTATAAGGTCTCAAGGAACCCATCATACATATAAATAATATGCACCCAATTATTCCTCTATATCTATTTTTCATATTATCATAATCATTTTCATATGCGAAATAGATTAATGTGCAAGCACTTATAAAAAATAAAATTTATTCCTAAAATCTCATTTATATGAATAATTATTATTAATTTATCAACCAGATATCCATTCCCAAATAGCAATTACTCTTAAAAACCACTCCAGAAGTTATTAATTTTAATACTAATAGCAACAATTTTACTAATAAAATCAAATGTTAAACTCAATTAACTAATGAAAATAAAATTGAATAAAATATCAAGTTATATAAAGATTAATCAACTTAATGCGAGTTAATAACATAAGATCAAACTACATAATGTGAATAATTATCTGAACAAGATGAATATATTATGTAACTTGTAAAATCAAAAATAACATACACTAATGGCCTACTCTCATAGATGGAATCCATAGATATGAAGGATTTACAACCAAGGTAAGCAATCTCAATATAATAATCTATAAAAAATCCATCAATATTGATGGAATATATATAAGAAAATAATAATACAATATATGAATAATTGTTAGTAAATCAAAACTAGACATTTTTAAATACAATCTCATAATTGACTAACAATAAATAAATAAGTGATATAAAAAACTAGATATAATAATTTTTAGATATATTAATTTTAATCAATTAAGGTTTAATTGACTAAAATTTTAGGAAAGATTATAGCATTGTTGATTAATTATCATTTAATGAAAACTATTGTGAACAATAATCTCCAGGATGGCTCTTAACACCTACAATAAAAATTGCAGACAGTTAGAACTTTTCTACTGATTCGCTTATCATGAATAAATGATTTACTATCTTATTATAAATAAAAGATAATACTCAATTGAAATATTATCTTTAAAAGTTACTAATATTTTTAATAATTATTTAATTTTCTAATAAATTAATATAAGTGGATTTTTCAATCATAATATCAATAGAATAAATTTATTATTATTAATTTAGATTGAAATTAATATAAACTCATCATAATTCATTTCATTAAATATTTTATCAATCATTTTCTAGAGATATCTTAGATGATTCTTAATCAACTTAAAGTAAAAAGAAGTTTTCTTGAAATTAATGTTCTAANGTTACAGATCTACCCAAACTCTAATCACCTAATTTCATCAATTATCTTGCTTCTATTTCATTTTAAAATATTAGAAATATAAGAAATGCATTATAACATACACCAAGCCAAAACATAAATCTCCAATATCCTATAAACCGTTTTATTGGACCATTATAAGGTCTCAAGGAACCCATCATACATATAAATAATATGCACCCAATTATTCCTCTATATCTATTTTTCATATTATCATAATCATTTTCATATGCGAAATAGATTAATGTGCAAGCACTTATAAAAAATAAAATTTATTCCTAAAATCTCATTTATATGAATAATTATTATTAATTTATCAACCAGATATCCATTCCCAAATAGCAATTACTCTTAAAAACCACTCCAGAAGTTATTAATTTTAATACTAATAGCAACAATTTTACTAATAAAATCAAATGTTAAACTCAATTAACTAATGAAAATAAAATTGAATAAAATATCAAGTTATATAAAGATTAATCAACTTAATGCGAGTTAATAACATAAGATCAAACTACATAATGTGAATAATTATCTGAACAAGATGAATATATTATGTAACTTGTAAAATCAAAAATAACATACACTAATGGCCTACTCTCATAGATGGAATCCATAGATATGAAGGATTTACAACCAAGGTAAGCAATCTCAATATAATAATCTATAAAAAATCCATCAATATTGATGGAATATATATAAGAAAATAATAATACAATATATGAATAATTGTTAGTAAATCAAAACTAGACATTTTTAAATACAATCTCATAATTGACTAACAATAAATAAATAAGTGATATAAAAAACTAGATATAATAATTTTTAGATATATTAATTTTAATCAATTAAGGTTTAATTGACTAAAATTTTAGGAAAGATTATAGCATTGTTGATTAATTATCATTTAATGAAAACTATTGTGAACAATAATCTCCAGGATGGCTCTTAACACCTACAATAAAAATTGCAGACAGTTAGAACTTTTCTACTGATTCGCTTATCATGAATAAATGATTTACTATCTTATTATAAATAAAAGATAATACTCAATTGAAATATTATCTTTAAAAGTTACTAATATTTTTAATAATTATTTAATTTTCTAATAAATTAATATAAGTGGATTTTTCAATCATAATATCAATAGAATAAATTTATTATTATTAATTTAGATTGAAATTAATATAAACTCATCATAATTCATTTCATTAAATATTTTATCAATCATTTTCTAGAGATATCTTAGATGATTCTTAATCAACTTAAAGTAAAAAGAAGTTTTCTTGAAATTAATGTTCTAAAACAATTAATTGCTAGATATATTCTTATTAAATAAAAGATTAACTAACATAATAAATTTCTTTAAAAAACAATCTTGCTTATTTTTAGTTAAAGAATACATTATCAATAATTATATCCAATTATTATTCATTGATAATAAGTTTTCTTCTTATTTAATTATTGACATTCAAGAAGGAAATACAATATAATGAGTTCTCTAAAATTTATTTCTATTCATTAATATTTTCTTTTCGTTAATAGCCTTGTCATAATAATATTAGATATGGAATCATATTTATTACTCCATTATAAGAATTCCAGTTACTTCCCTAAAGGTAGCAAAAAAGTGAAAAAGGGATTTTTCATTTGAAGGAACTCCAATTTAAACGAAATCTACATACATCAGTTCTCGTATTATTTTGAATTCATGTTTATAATTAGATGATTTAGACATTTCAATATTAAAAATTCAACTTACTTATACTTTGAAATCTTCTCATAAATTTTGTAGTTTAAAATTATTATTCATCAATTTGAATGGGTTTTGCTAAGATTCTTTTTTTATTATGATTGGTTTCAAAATAATTATAAGAAATTGCTTACTCACCATTAGATTGAATTATGTATCTTAAGTAATAGAGTCTTTAATTGAAGGGATGAATGATTTTAATTAAGTCTACAAGAATAATATGTTCTTATGTTGCCCTATTCATTTAATAAATTAACTGTTAAAAATATAAATGGAATTGAAATATGTGAATAAATTTGTAGAAGAATACAAACTCATTAAGAATGATAAATTAATTAAATACCTTATCATTCTAGGTATAGGATTTGTGAAGTAAAGGTTAGAAGACATAAATTAGGAAGCAATCAAATTATTAGCGAGTAATATTTGATTTATTATGTAGATTCATTCAAAGAAAAGTCTATTCATTAAGAATTGAAAAATTTAAGAAATAAGGTTCTGTCTTTAGAGAAGCATATTCAACCAGAATAACATATTAAATATCATAGTTAACCAAAATTAATGCCTCCTAAAGTTACACCAAAAATCACTGAATAAATTCCACTTTAATAGAATGTCAAAAAGGCAGTACCATTTAAGCATCACTTAGATGATTCTGAGATGTAAAAATTCTTAGTTTACTATTAAGCAAATCAATATTATGGAATCAATATAGTGAAAATTCTCATCACATAAGCAATAATGATTCTTAAAATTAACCTCCAAGAAAATAAACAATTGATTAACAATCAATAATTCCTAAATATTTACCAAGAAACAATTCATAAACAGAAATTCATCCTCTATCATAACGTGAGAATAGTACAAGATAGGTTACTTAACGATCATCTCATCATTCAAGTTAATTTGACAGTTTACATAATAGAAATTCTCCAAAATTTAAAGGGGAAAAGAAAAAGAGTATATGTAAAGAGAACAAAATATCTGGAAGTATTGGAGGATTACCTAAACATTTGAGATATGTATAATCAAAAATAAAATCGTAAATTCAATATGATAAGGAATAATACAAATCTAATAATAGTTAAAAAGAAGAAGAATAAACAATTAATATTGCTAATAGTTCATTAAATCCATTTAATAATACTCCATAAAATAAATTATTTTAACCTTGTCATTCTACTCATTTTGGTAGTAGTTAAGTTTCAAGTGCTAAGATTTAATAATAATAATAATAATAGATGTAGATTTAAGATTTAAATAATATTACAGAAAGGAAAGTATTTAATCTTGATGAAATTGCTTCATCTTTTTTGAATTCTCCATTCATGAAGAGTTAAATCACTTAAAGACTATTTGCAAAATAAGAATCAGCTTCATAATCATCATCATCTAGTACATTCTCCCTTTTTAATCCTAATAATGAACTCAAAAGTATTAATATCATTTATTATTTAATAGACTTCTTTTAATAATTAGATAAATAAGTAGGAAACTCTTTATCATTTTAATTTTGATTTCATATTATTTATACATTTTATTTATTATCAACTATATTATATATTCATTTGTTCTATTTATATATATATATATATTGTTGTCTATTTATTAAACTGATTTAGGAAATTTAAATTGGAATCATTATTTAATGAATTTATTGAAGTTTCTTTATGGAGAACCCTCTAAATAAGAAGTGAATTAGTAATTATAGAAACATATAATTTACTCAAATGATGATGAATATTAAGGTGAGATTATGAATGATAAACGTCATGGAAAAGGAACCTATAAATTTGCATCAGGAAATCGTTATGAAGGATAATGGAAGAATCATCAAAAGCATGGAAAAGGTAAGTTGTACTATAAGAATGGGGAACTCTACATTGGAGATTGGGTTGAAAATAAGAAATGTGGAGAAGGAATGCATTTTTATATAAATGGGGATAGATATGTTGGAGGATGGAAAGATGATTAAAGGGATGGAGCAGGAACTTTATATTAAGCTGATTAAAATATATTCCATGGTATTAGAAGATAGATTATGCAGGATAGTTTAGAATGAATAAAAAGTATGGAACTGGCTATTACTTTAATACACGTGAGAAGAAATATTACAAATAGCATCATGACTCTGACAATATCTTAGATAGTGTTTAGATTGAAGAGGTTCCAACATTTGTACTTGAAAAATTCCATATCAAACCTGAAAGAAATCATATTGAGAGTGAGAAGAGTGAGGATTGTGCCATTAAAATTGAAGCTAGTCCTACAATATAGAATGATAGTGATAAATAAAAAGATCTATAACCTAGTGGATAAAGTGGTTAAGGGGAATCTGATCCTTAATTAAAAGAAGAAGGTAAATCTTAGTTAAATTCTCTTGGGACTTCATAATAGCATGGATTTTTGAGTTTATAAGTATTGGAGAAATTGGAAGAATTTGAAAGTTAAAAAAATAGTAAAATTATTGAAATATATTAAAAATATAGTGTAGGAATGGTAATTAGAAGAAGTATGTACTTGGTTAGATTCATTAAAATTAAGTGAATATAAAGATGAATTTATTAAAAATTAAATGACAGGCAAAACTCTCTATGCTTTAACTGATAATGATTTAAAATAAGATTTGGGAATATTAGTATTAGGACATCGAAAATAGATTTTGTAGTCTATAGAAGAATATAAGAAATATTATGTAAAATTTATGGGAGGAAGAATCCTATTAAAAAAGCCTTTAGAATCTTTGGAAGATAGAAAAGGACTTTACAATTCTATTGAGTAATTGAGATTTAAGAGTATTTTTTCTTATATGGAGAAGATTGAAGAGGAACAAAATGAACATCATGATAATAATATAAGTGAATCAAGTAGTGATTCACCAAGTGTCAATAAAAGAAAGAAAACAAATAAAGATATTCCAAAATCACCTACAAGATCTTTGTCAAATGATTCAGATTAAGGAAATTTAAGTGATAATAATATATCATTAAAATTGAAAAGATAGAAAAGTAAAAAAAGTAAAAAGCAATAGAGAAAATAAACAATGGATGTGTAAAATTCTGGAGAATCTGCAGATGATGAAGATGGCAAATAACATCAAACTTCACTTGTTTGTATATAATATATTATTATATATTTAGAATCTCCAAATAAAGCTAGCATCAATATTAGTGATTAAAAGATTGAGATTCTTGCATTAAATGAATGTTAGAATATTGGAGAAGAGAATAAGGAGAAGGATAGTAATGCTATGAATGAATTATAAAAACAATAATCAACAAATAAACAATAAGAAATATAAGAAATCATATCATCTAAAATTCCATAATAGATTAATAATAATAATGAAGAAAATTTTAATTAATTAGAAAGATTACAATCTATTAGTTTATAATTGTAACGATAGAAATCTGAAATTAATGGTAGCAAATTTTAGGATTAAGATACATCAAGTTAAGAATCTGATGTATCTGGAAATGATTCAAGTTCAGAATCATCAGATGAAGATAAATACAAAAATCAAAAGAAATCTAGAAGATAAAGAGAAATTAATAAAAAAGAAAAAGAAAAGGATGATAGATAATAACATCATTTACCTAAAAAATTACTTGTAATGTTAAAAGAATTTGGAATTAATGAAAGAGTATTAATAGTATTTCATGAATTAATTATTGGATAAATAATTGGTGAAGGAGGTTATGGTGTTGTTCATAAAGGTAAATGGCTTGGTTAAGATGTTGCAATCAAATCTTATGGAAAAAGAAAATCTTAAGGAAATTTGAAATATAAGTTATAAATGGCTGATTTCTTGAAAGAAGTAGAAGTTATTTCAAATCTAAGACATCCTAATATAGTTTTGTATATGGGAGTTTGTATAAGAAAATAAAATTATTATTTGATTACTGAATATTTGGAAGAAGGGAGTCTGTTTGATCATCTTCATAAAAAGAAAACACATATAGATTAAAAAGCATTAATGTAAATAGTGGAAGACATTGCATTAGGAATGAATTATCTTCATGGTAGAAAAGTAATGCATTGTGATCTGAAATCATCCAATGTTCTTATAGATTAAAATTGGAATGTTAAATTATGTGATTTTGGTTTATCAAGAATTAATAAGAAAATAGATCATAAAGTAAACAAAGGAGCTAGAATAGGTACTCCTAATTGGATGGCTCCAGAAATTATGAGAGGAGAACCATATTAAGAAAAGTCTGATATTTATAGTTTTGGAATGATTCTTTGGGAAATTATAACATAATAAATACCATATGAAGGATTATCACAAACTTAAATTATTGGATCTGTAGGGTATGGACAGGATTAAGTTACTATTCCTTCTTAGAGCAATCCTCCAATCCTACTTTAAATAGCCAAAAAATGTTTAATAAAGAATCCTGATGAGAGACCTACTTTTGCTGATATTGTAAATGAAATTCAAATGGGACAAAAAACTGATGCTAAACTAAAAAGTAATTTCTAATATTTATTTTATTTAGAATAAGCTATATAATAACTTATAGATTTTTTTGGATGATCAGAAGAATGAAAAATAGTAATCATATTATTCATATATATTTTATAAGTATTTCTATAAATTCTTTCTAAAAAATTAATTTATAAATGATCTATGATTAATTAGATTGTATTCTATATAAATAATAAGAATATTGGATTACTAATAATATAGTTTTAATAAATTAAGTTAATATTAGAATAGTCATTTTAGAAGTATAAGGATTTTGAAAAATAGTAAATTTTATGATATAGGTTTTTAATCTATAAGGTTAAAGTATTTAAGAATAAATTTATTAGAATAGAAAATATCATTTAGAATCTAATTTGAATTTAACTAATAATTTTGAAATTACAAGAACAATTATTAATTGTAATAGTCATTTCTTTTGATGAGATGGATTGATGGAAATAATAAATAAAGAATAGTTACTAAGTTGAATTGGTTCTTTTTTATTAATATTAATATATGAATAAAACTTAAGTTTTAAAATCTCTAGTGTTAAGACAACCAAAAGAAAATTTGAGAAGATTGCATCCAGTTGCATAATTAAAGAGAGAGTAATATTCTTAAACACCAGAACCACTACAATATAAAACAAGAGAAGAGTCTCCTTTTAGAGTATTGAGATCTTAAAATGGAAATCTTCCTGTATACAAAAAATATTTTGTGAGAAGTGAAGTACCAAGAACAGTAATAAGACATATTGAGGGAGATGTAAATGAATTTATAAAGGAATTAAGAAAGGTATGTTCAAATGCAGATGTAATTGAAAAGGTATAAGATTAAAACAAATAGATTAGGTTGGAAGAGTTGAAGTAAATGGGAGTCATACAATAAGTGTTAGAAAATGGTTGACATAATTAGGATTCTGAGAATAATATATAAGAGAAATATTATAATAATATTATTTATGTTTCTCTTTGTTTTAATATAATTCTCAATTGCAATCCAGACATTCATATTCTAGCATTAATTATTTGATGTCAATAGATCTATTGACTCTGACTATTTTGTCTGATTATCCTTAAACTAATGCAATCCATTCAGGATATCTAGATATTAAATTATTGATAATTGTTAAAATTCCATTATTGTAATTCAAATCAAATTTTTATTTAATCAGATATTTTTCAATATTGATCAAATACATATTGGATACATCTCTAAGATTGAAATATAATTATAATCCAATAGCAATTTATTTTAATTAATTGTTATTTTATTAATGTTATTAATCTCTCATGATGGTGTTATTTGAATGTGATTCTTACTCTTAGTTTTTGATATCTTATTATATATATTCCATATTTGGTAAAGGATATAATTCTATAAATTCTCCCTTTGTTTGTATATAATCAAGTAATTTCTATTGAAAAATGATGTTCTTATCATCATTTTGATAAAATTACTAATCCTTTATACTTACTTCTAAACTAAGTTTCTCATTTTCATAATATTTCCAAATCAAACTAAAAGCATCATTCCAAATTTATAGGAATTGCTGTAATTATTATACCTTAAATTCTATTTAATAATCCTATTTAAATTAAATAACTATTTCTTAAAAGGCTAAAGTCTAATTAAATAAAATGGTGTTTAAATTATGGAACATCTTACAAAATTATTAATATTTGGGAATAGCCATCAATTACTAAATGGTTTTGATACTTTGGAGTCTCTCAAATCGCTATCTCAATGATTCTTTAAAAAGGATTCTTGAAATGCAAATGGCTGATTCCCTCTTCTATTCAAGCTTCACCATCTTTTTATAATTTTCAAATTATTCTATGCCATTTATAGTTAAAGAGTCTTCATATAAACCTTTTAATAATAAGCATATAAAATGTACTCTTATTTTTGGTCTGACTTTTTTGAAAGAACTATTACACACTGCACTTTCCCTTAGCTTCTTTTTTCTCCTTTTTTGAGATGTGCAAAGTATTATCAGTGTTTCTATTTTCACTAATTCCTATTCTCTGAAAACTCATTAGATTATTTTATTATCTTATTTTAATATCTCTTCCACAAGACTCATCATATAGTGAAAATTAAAATGTGCATTTTTAATAAATATCTAGGTTTTAAAACAGTATAATATTTCATTAAACCATAATACATTTCCACTTTTTCCTCTATTTTCATATATTTGTAATCATCTCCTATAAGTCTCTCCTAAACAGATTTATAAAAGTTTATTCTTATTCTCTATAATTCTCTTTTCTCAAAAACTAATGGATCATTGATTATCATATACTTCTAGTATCAGTACTCATTTATAATCCATCAATTCTAATTCACAAATCTTGATCTATGAATAATCCAAACAATTCCATCTAAATTTATAGTAAATATATATCCTTCTTAGCATATCTAGTATCATTCACTTTTCATAAATTATAACACATCCTAAACTTAACACTTATATTATTATATAATAATTAATATTTACAACTAAATTAGTTTCCTCTTACATTTCTCTTAAAACAGCCTAAATTATATCTTCAATATGATCCATCTGCCTTCTTTAAATTTTTCGAAACTCCCTTTCAATTTCCAATTTTTTCTTGTTCCATCATCACATATATACTATAATCCACAATTATCTTTTACAATTTTTCATATAAACACAATATAATATGGTTTATTAACCAGAAAATCTACTATCAAAATCAATAAGCCATTTTGAATATTAAAAAATAGTTCCTCATACTCTACAAATTCAGAATCCTTATTCTATTAATATTTATATATAAAATTCAATATAACTGGAATTAAAAGTAACCAGTCTATATAAAATTTAATCAAAATTGCTGTTTTTTAAGAAGTTTTACAAATCTCTATTAGATTGATTAAATGTTATTTNATATTTGGGAATAGCCATCAATTACTAAATGGTTTTGATACTTTGGAGTCTCTCAAATCGCTATCTCAATGATTCTTTAAAAAGGATTCTTGAAATGCAAATGGCTGATTCCCTCTTCTATTCAAGCTTCACCATCTTTTTATAATTTTCAAATTATTCTATGCCATTTATAGTTAAAGAGTCTTCATATAAACCTTTTAATAATAAGCATATAAAATGTACTCTTATTTTTGGTCTGACTTTTTTGAAAGAACTATTACACACTGCACTTTCCCTTAGCTTCTTTTTTCTCCTTTTTTGAGATGTGCAAAGTATTATCAGTGTTTCTATTTTCACTAATTCCTATTCTCTGAAAACTCATTAGATTATTTTATTATCTTATTTTAATATCTCTTCCACAAGACTCATCATATAGTGAAAATTAAAATGTGCATTTTTAATAAATATCTAGGTTTTAAAACAGTATAATATTTCATTAAACCATAATACATTTCCACTTTTTCCTCTATTTTCATATATTTGTAATCATCTCCTATAAGTCTCTCCTAAACAGATTTATAAAAGTTTATTCTTATTCTCTATAATTCTCTTTTCTCAAAAACTAATGGATCATTGATTATCATATACTTCTAGTATCAGTACTCATTTATAATCCATCAATTCTAATTCACAAATCTTGATCTATGAATAATCCAAACAATTCCATCTAAATTTATAGTAAATATATATCCTTCTTAGCATATCTAGTATCATTCACTTTTCATAAATTATAACACATCCTAAACTTAACACTTATATTATTATATAATAATTAATATTTACAACTAAATTAGTTTCCTCTTACATTTCTCTTAAAACAGCCTAAATTATATCTTCAATATGATCCATCTGCCTTCTTTAAATTTTTCGAAACTCCCTTTCAATTTCCAATTTTTTCTTGTTCCATCATCACATATATACTATAATCCACAATTATCTTTTACAATTTTTCATATAAACACAATATAATATGGTTTATTAACCAGAAAATCTACTATCAAAATCAATAAGCCATTTTGAATATTAAAAAATAGTTCCTCATACTCTACAAATTCAGAATCCTTATTCTATTAATATTTATATATAAAATTCAATATAACTGGAATTAAAAGTAACCAGTCTATATAAAATTTAATCAAAATTGCTGTTTTTTAAGAAGTTTTACAAATCTCTATTAGATTGATTAAATGTTATTTAAACAATTTTTGATTTTAATTGTATTATTTAGATTACTCTTTCATATATGATTTGATTATTTATTGTATCAATTATAATTTTATCAAATATACTTAGATTAATTAATGGATTAGTAAAAAGACTCATCAATTTTTTCATATTTAATAATAAAATATTTTTACAAATAAAAACTTCATAGTATAAAAGTTAGATAAATAATTTATTCCAATTCAAAACAAATCTTTTTTAGTTCATTTATTTAATTTCTCAACTTAAGTTATTCCTTTTTTGAAATTATAATTTCTTGTTAAATAAGCAATCACTTTGATTTTCGCTTCTATGAAATTTATTACTTATTAATCTAATTTACTTTATCATACTACTCATATAAATCGAAAGAACAAGTTCTATTGCGTAATAATAAATAAAATAAGATCTTTATAAATAACAAAAATAAAAATTATGGAAGAATAACGCAAGAGATTGAACTCTTCAATGACTTATGAAGAATATGTAAACACCTTTGATAAGGCACCAAAAAAACCTTATTTAAAACCAAAATAGGAACCAGATGTTGGTATGGAGGATCTAGATTTACTTAGTGATGCTTAAACAGACATAGTAAACAAAACCTTTATAACCTAATAGCCTTAAGTCAAAAAAAAAATATACTGCGACCCAAACACTGTAATTTAAGAGGTTGAAGAAGATGGCAAAACACCTGTAGTTTGGGTAGATTAATAACTTACTCCCAGTCCAATGAAGATGGCAAGATAAAGAACATAAAGCGAGAATATTTAATTTACTTTTATAAGTTTTGTTGAAAGAGAAATTGAGAGAAAGGGATCACGCAAATTTGAATGAATATATTTTTGTGCTAAAATATTTTTTATTATTTCTGAATATTTCTTTAGAGAATAGACATAATAAGATTGATTTACACTAAACTCTTTATTTATATGATTGAAATAAAGTAATGAATTACATCTATAAATAAAAAAATATATATATTCACAAATTCACTGAAATAATAGTTAATTAAGAACTTAAATTATGTCGATGTTATTTTTTGGATTCATTCTATATTATTATTGAAAAATATTCAATTGATTTATCTTTTGATTGAACATTTATTTATCAATAACAGAAAGAATCTAGAAATAAAATTTTTTCTTTACTTTTTCCTTGTTTATTGATCAAAGCATATTTATTTTAAAACACTTAAATTTATTTGAATTTATTCAATATGAATATAGACTATTAATTAAGGGTTTTATAAACAATTTAATTTTTTTCTTTTTTCAATTAAATATTGAATATCAGATTTCTATTGAAAAATTTGAGGAAATAAGTAGAATATTTATTTTTAATTTTCTAAATTCAAAAGAAAAAAACATCAAATAATTAAAACATGAATAATTATTCATAAAAAGTCTTTAGTTTGATTTAATGGCTATTATTTACAATAAGGACATATTTTTCTTTTATTATATGGCATTTATAACCATTTCATTAAGCATTCTTTATGAAATTCATGATTTCCTAAACATAAATATTGAGCAATAAAATCTTTTGATTTGAAGGAATCATAACATATTGGACATACTTCTTTAATTTTTTCTGATTTTTCATTTAATTAATAAACTTTAATGATTTAATTTTATTCCATCTATAATATAGATTTTTAAAGATTTTTATCTAATAAGTACTCAATTACAAAGTATTTTATAAGGCTAATAGAAATTGAATATCTTATAAAATTACTATTAATAATAAATTATTAATTTTACATAACATCTTGAATTTCTTCAATTTAATTAATAAAAATATCCCAAATCATCAATCCTAATCCAAATATTTATAGAAAACTGATAATTTATTGAGTTTTAGTCATATATGATATCAATTTCTATTTTAACAATAATTTAAATGCATTTATAAAATCTCTTCTGCTCTATTAATTTAAAGTAATTAATTAAGGTATAATTAATACTTAAAGAATAGATGCACCTAAACTAAGTATAAAAATCAAAAATAAATATGAGCATCTAAACCATGCCAATGTGAATGGCAATCTACCATTTATCAAGTTATCAAGATAATATAAGCAAAAGCACACTTCATGTATTAAATTCAAACTATGATGCAATATTAAATAGAATCTATATTGCTTTGGGGCGGCTATCAATAGCTTTTCTAGGTTTTACATTATAATTATTTAAAATTCATAATAAAAATCATTTATTATTATCTCAATTATGATGATGTTCGACTATTAAATATAACCTATAAACTAATAGTTGTGATAAGTTTCATTATCATATGAATAACATAATTCAATTTTATAATTATAACTGTTATAATTTAAGCTGACTGCAGTTTTATTTGATTTTTATTAAATGGTATTTATTGCTCAATCCTTATTTTTAGATTTTCAGATTTTTAGTTAAAGAAAGAGAAACCTATTCAACAGATTTGTCTTTAGAAGCATTATTAACATTATCCTTATTTTCAAATATATTACTAAAGATTCTTTTCTTCTCTTATTCATTATAAGGAAATTTCATAGATTTACCACATAAAACTAATTAACTTTAAATTAACTCATGTTCATTTCGAATTTAACTATCTCTAAGAATAAATTTTTTATTTTCATAATTTGTTTTTTATTCTCTTGTTTTAGATGAAGATAATACTATATTTTTCAAATGAGAAAATATTTCACCTTATGATTCCATACCTACAGAATTTCCAATATAAGGTTCTTTATCAGTTTAAAATCCATCTTAAAATGTTCTTGAATTTCTACCTTCATTTTCTTATTTACTTAATCTTATTTTATGAAATATATTTCTTTTATTTTATTTTTATTGTTGTCTTATGGGTAATCGATGTACTGAACATATTATTTGTTGTTTTTCAAGAGTAGATTATATTTATTAATAATTTTTAAAATAGTATTTGGTTATTCTTTTATTGAGTGCATTATTTTAATCATTTAAGATTTTCCAATACTTCTCATATCTAAATAGAGTTATTTCTTGAGTGCTTTCTATTGGAATAAATACATTTTTTGTTTTTGTTAAACAACAAACATAGCTTTTAAAACCTGATATTAAATATTCTTTTGTTTATTCATCTAAATTCATAATATCATATGGATCATTTTTTTAAGTAGGCTTATTTTATAAATAATAAGTTAAGTGTATGTGATTTAAGTAATCCAAACTCTATATTGGATCCTAACAAAACTTCTCGTTTCTATTTGTGATTAAATCAGTTCTAATTGATATAAATTAGGATACTATAATGCCTCATTTCTATTAATGGATTTAACTAAAGAATCAATCTAACGAACTAGTCTTTCTTTTTACAAATTGATAATTATTTGTATGATTTCTGTAGAACTCATTGTAGAATTGCTAGCTATTTTGAATAATTAGTTTCTTTGCATTGGTAAAAATTATTTTCTCTAACTGAATATTGGGAAATATAACTATTTACATGTCTTAATACTTGCAATTTTTAGTAATAATAACCTTGAATTTTTATATATTTTTTCACAAGTTTCTATAAGAATTTTCTAGCCTCTGAATAATTCAATAATGTTTGCGATTCTATTTAAATTCTTCTCTGCTCCACTTTTAAGATTTTGTATTGTAATTTTTACACCAAATTCATTCGATCATTACTAGACATTGAATTTATCTAAGCCTCTAAAATCTAAAGGTGAAATATATATTCTTATCTGCTAGCTAATATTAAAATTATAGAATTCATTATATTATTTTATTAATATTTCCGAATAATAATTACAACATGCTCTCTAAGACTTTTTATAAGAATGTCTATTCTAAATTCACAAACTATTGATTATATATACCCAATATAAATTTTACTTTTTAATTAACATTTAATATTTTGTAAACATAATAACTAATGGTAAATTGAATGTCTATATAAATAGCAAAGTGAATATCCAGAAAGAGCTCAGCCTTTAGCTAATGAAGAAGTAGAACCTTAAATTCTAGAACTTGCATAATAAGCAGCTGCCTTAAAATAAGTAATTCTGATTACAATCATTAGTTAAAAAAAGGAGCCAATGAAACAACCAAAACATTAAATAGAGGTATCGCAGAATTAGTTATAATTGCTGCTGATACAACTCCATTAGAAATCGTTCTTCATTTACCATTACTATGCGAGGACAAGGTATTCGAAATATTGACCAACTTTAGAATGTCCCTTATGTTTTTGTTAAGAGCAAAGTAGACTTAGGCAGAATGTGCGGTACAAGTAGAAATGTTGTGGCTTGCTCAATTATAAAGGATAAAAACTCAAGAATCAATTAAAATATTACATATCTTAAAGATTTGTGTGAAAGACTCCAAATAAATTAAGAAGCATGATAAATATTAAATATGTACATTAAACAATCATATTAATACTGTGTAAATTATAACAGATTTTATACAATTAGATATTTGATAATTTCTGGTTGTATTGAAATCTGTGAATTATGTATTCTAGATGTTTAATTCAATCTAATATCCTTATAATGCAATTTATAATTTCATTAAACTGCTTAAACAAGGAGTTTTTCAGAAAAAAACAGTTTCTTAACCTTTTTAATAAAAATATAATGATTTGTATTATTTTTAAAAGTGAATCTATAGATATTTTTTTAAATAACAGTGGATTTCTATTTAATTTATTTCTAATTAAATCATTTTAAGATATGATTTTTTTCGATTATATAATAAATTACTTCAAAGAATAAATTTTAAATTTCCAAATAACTAGTCAATCTTTTTCAATTGATAAGAATATTTGAATCTTTATTAACTGGAAAATGGAGTGGGTTAGAGTGCTTTCATAGAATATTTAGATATCTCTTATAGAATATAAAATTCAATCGAAAAAGTAGCAATATTTTATTCATAAAATAACAATTATCTTTTTAATTAAATTGTTGTTTCTATTAATAATAGCCTTATTTTTTATAGAAAAATGTTAATTTCAAATATCTCTTTCTTTGTTAAAATTTTATATATTTGATTTTCTTCAATAGAATGCCAAAAAGTAATACATTAAATTGTAAATGAGAAAATTAATAAGTTTCTCATTTACTTATATACTTTATTATAATTATACATTTTACATTAATTTATTACTTAAGTTATTTGAGAAATTATTACAAAAAAATAGAGAATAAAGTCAACAAAATAGAAATTAAGATAACTCTATTGTTAGTTAAATTTAATAAAATTTGAATTATTATTTAATGTTTCTGAAAAAGATTGTTTTATTTAGTATGTTGACATTTAAAATTACACATAAAAATTAAACTTCAAAATTATAAAAAATATAAATAATGTTTTTTTGAATTTACATTTTCTGTANCAAAACATTAAATAGAGGTATCGCAGAATTAGTTATAATTGCTGCTGATACAACTCCATTAGAAATCGTTCTTCATTTACCATTACTATGCGAGGACAAGGTATTCGAAATATTGACCAACTTTAGAATGTCCCTTATGTTTTTGTTAAGAGCAAAGTAGACTTAGGCAGAATGTGCGGTACAAGTAGAAATGTTGTGGCTTGCTCAATTATAAAGGATAAAAACTCAAGAATCAATTAAAATATTACATATCTTAAAGATTTGTGTGAAAGACTCCAAATAAATTAAGAAGCATGATAAATATTAAATATGTACATTAAACAATCATATTAATACTGTGTAAATTATAACAGATTTTATACAATTAGATATTTGATAATTTCTGGTTGTATTGAAATCTGTGAATTATGTATTCTAGATGTTTAATTCAATCTAATATCCTTATAATGCAATTTATAATTTCATTAAACTGCTTAAACAAGGAGTTTTTCAGAAAAAAACAGTTTCTTAACCTTTTTAATAAAAATATAATGATTTGTATTATTTTTAAAAGTGAATCTATAGATATTTTTTTAAATAACAGTGGATTTCTATTTAATTTATTTCTAATTAAATCATTTTAAGATATGATTTTTTTCGATTATATAATAAATTACTTCAAAGAATAAATTTTAAATTTCCAAATAACTAGTCAATCTTTTTCAATTGATAAGAATATTTGAATCTTTATTAACTGGAAAATGGAGTGGGTTAGAGTGCTTTCATAGAATATTTAGATATCTCTTATAGAATATAAAATTCAATCGAAAAAGTAGCAATATTTTATTCATAAAATAACAATTATCTTTTTAATTAAATTGTTGTTTCTATTAATAATAGCCTTATTTTTTATAGAAAAATGTTAATTTCAAATATCTCTTTCTTTGTTAAAATTTTATATATTTGATTTTCTTCAATAGAATGCCAAAAAGTAATACATTAAATTGTAAATGAGAAAATTAATAAGTTTCTCATTTACTTATATACTTTATTATAATTATACATTTTACATTAATTTATTACTTAAGTTATTTGAGAAATTATTACAAAAAAATAGAGAATAAAGTCAACAAAATAGAAATTAAGATAACTCTATTGTTAGTTAAATTTAATAAAATTTGAATTATTATTTAATGTTTCTGAAAAAGATTGTTTTATTTAGTATGTTGACATTTAAAATTACACATAAAAATTAAACTTCAAAATTATAAAAAATATAAATAATGTTTTTTTGAATTTACATTTTCTGTATAATAATAATCATCATAATTTAAATAAAATTAATTAAATCAAGTCTTAATCAAGCAAAATATTTTTTGTAAAGACCATTTGTTGAAAATTCTTTAGGGAAAATCAATTTTTTATGTAACACCTTGTTTTGGCTAGGATTATTAATCTGAGGATAAATTTCTGAGTTTTAACTAAGCTATTCTAATTAATTAAATTAGCTTTTCCATTTTGATTCAAAATTATTGTTTACAGGATTGCAATTTATTCTATAAGATTGATACTAGTTAATATTTTATGTTGTTTCTAGTGGTTCAATTTTTTGATGTAAATATTAAAACTTTTTGGTTAGATTTACACTTTTGTATCTTTTATTCTTTGATTTAGAGAGTGATGGTCTTTCTGTTGCAATTTCTTAAGGGAAATCTTAACATCTAGTATTTTAAGATAGAACTCTCTAAAATTAATTTTGTTTTAATGGTTATAAGTGGAGATGATCCTTATTTGGCTATGCATATTCTTATAATATTTCCTTAACAGAACCTGCTTTCCTTTTAATAGACAACTTTCTTTAGGTACTTTATTGGTTTACAGGGATTGGTTATATTGAGGGCTTTTTATAAAAGGTAAGTAGATAAATATCTAACAATCTATAGAGAATAATAAATAAATCAAAACTGCTATTTGTTATCTGGAATTTAACATGAAGCTATGTCTTTGGTTTTCATAAAATAAAAATATTATTGATTAGAGCTGAATTATGAAATAAAAAAATGTTGACGGCGAGGTTCGAACTCGCGCCCTTTCGGACTGGAGCCTTAATCCAGCGCCTTAGACCACTCGGCCACGTCAACTTATAATGATAATTTGATTGCATATAAGCATTTAACTGTCAAAACCTAATAATTAATTTAATAATCGAATAGAATGTTAGCATAAAGTGTACAAGGTTAGTTTTAAGGTCCCAGATTAAGTGCTGGAGTTGGTTAGAATGTATAAATGGGATTTGGAGTGATTCAACCAAACATAGGACTATAATCTTAGAATTCTTAATAAACATTTATGCCTTTAAGTGCTCAACTGCCTTTTCCGGGAGTTGGACAATATAAAGGACAGACGCCTCTTCAATTTTCAATGCCATTTTAAGGAGCGAATCAAGGATAATTTTCTCAGCACTTGATAAATTATTAATAACAGCCATTAGTTGTTTAAAATTTAATTTAACCTTAACCATAATTGTAATATTAGCAATAAGTTATTCAACCTCCTCCATTTCAAATAACATAACCAGCTTAAATAGAGAGGAAGGTGAATTATATTCCATAAAAAAAATAAATAGTAAAAATGGAAGAACAAGAAATTGAGGAAATTGTTCCAGTAGAGAGAACAATTGTAGAATATATTCCTGTTTAAACAATAATAGGTATAAATAAAAAAAAATAATTTTTAGAGAAAGTACCAATTCCTGTTGAAATACCATATGAAGTTATGATACCAAAACCCTATTAATAAGAAATTAGATATCCTAATCTATAAAACTAATTTATAACAGATGAAAACGGAAATCCACCTTCTAATCCTTAAAATTAATATAAAAATGAATTTCCTCCAACCTAAATCACAAATTATGAATAAAAATAAGTAATTGAAAGTGATGATGAGGATGGAGGTGGAACAGATGAAGATGATGAAGAATTGATAGAAAAATATACACGAATTATTGAGGAAATTAAATAAAGAAGAAGAAGAAGAAGACATAAGTTAGGATTGAAGGAAGAGGATGAAGATGATTTTAATTTTAATTAACTTTCGAAGAGATTTGGATCATATGGAAATAAAGGAGAATTTTCTGAAAGGTATGATTATGGCAACGGTGGATTCAGATAATCAACAAATATGAGGAATAAAGGAGGATATAAGGGTAGAAATAAAAACTATACAGATTATTTAAATCTAGGAAGATGAAAATTATTTGTCACTTAAATATTATTAATTATTTAATGGAACTTGATTTCCTATCCCCTAGAGCACGGGAAATAAACAAGAAAAAACTGAGTCTTTTGTATTCTCTAAAAAACTAAAATATTGAATAAAACGACCCTATCAATGAAAACGTTTCCTTCATTAAAAAGCTAACAGGTGATCACCCATTGAACGACGTAATTAAGGAGTGTTAGAACAATGTGAGAGAGGGTTTTTTAACTCCATTAACGAATGTATGGCAAATAATCATTTAAGAGGTCTTCCATTTCTCTAGAATTCACAGCAAGCATGTTTGTTGAAGAATTATTGGACAGCATCAAAATAAAACATATTAAAATACTACAGTTAGATGAACTCATCAATAATTTGAAAAACAATATAGAAATTATTCAAAAAATAGAAATTAAGTAACAATCCACAAATCTAAAAGAACTTTATGAAATCTTTATACTCAATTAACCTAAAGATGATAATTATCAATTGTATCTAAATGATGAAAAATTATACCCTTAATAATGGCATTCTTGCCCATTTAATGTCAAACATAAATTAAATTTTACCCTATTTTCCAACAATAATAAAATGCTTGAAGTTATTTCTGTTGATATGATCTATGTATATATATACATTAATCTTTAGTAAATTGGCAATAATTGCGTCAATATTAAACCAAATGAATACCATCAGATACTCCAAATTAAATTTTTAGAGGAATCAAATAATCCTATTCAATATGATTTACAGTATAAAACAATATTATTATAGGATTTAATTATTTTATAATATGACAAATGATTTAAAGAAGACAATAATTAAAACTTTGAAATAAGAAATTGAAGAAATAGATCATAAAATTATAGATATGATAGATATTATTAATAGAATGTTAGAACCATTTTCTAATAATGGATTTAAATATTTAAGATATGAAGGCTTAATAGATAATTAAAGCATATCAAAAATTAGAAATCATTGTTGTAACATTTTCTGATCATATAATAACTATGTCTTTAACTTTATAATTTTATAAGTAATATTTTACTTAATTACGTTTTTATTAATCCATATATCATTATGTCTAACAATATTATAATCACCTTCAAATTTATCCAGATATTTAAAACTCTAAATTATGAAAATTCATAGGCAAACATCTTTGATATATAAAATTAGATTATCATGAGCTCCGCAATTTCAAATAATCATCTTCATTTATATATTTTCAATAAAAATTTATATTTATTTTTTATATAAATTATTATATGAATCAGCCTAATAAGCAACCAATTTAATAACAGCCACAGTTAACAAATGCAAAGAGATAGTCAGCTATTTAATTAAAAAAATATATTAATCAATTGTAAGGAACAGGAGTCTTGGGTAAGAAATCTATTTATTCTTTAGATTATAAAATATTTGGTAAACATCATGATAATGTTTATTTTGATTAGGGGGAAATGGAAAGAATTTTAAAGAAAGTTCCTGGCACTTAAAATGGCAAAATATCTGTGCAAGATCTAAAAAAGAGAATGTGTAAGAAGTTACAATAAAATAGAATTATGTAATCCTAATGCTGATATATCACTAATAAATACAGTTTTTCAAGGGAAACAAGAAGTTAGTGCTAAAGATATTTATGAATTATGGAATGGTGAACCTATTACAGATTATGATCCATTATAAGAATGTCTAAATTTACTTTGTGATCAAAATGAAATTCTTGATCTTAATAAGATGAGTTAACTAATGGAAACTCTTGGCTATTAAAAATTAGATAAATAAGATCAAGTTATTTTGATTGAAATATTTGACATATATAGAGATAAAAAAATAGATAAAAAAGACCTTATGGCTATATTTACTTATATATTGTAGCATACGACTGGAATTTGATTATGATTTGAAAGTTTTCTTTTATTTTTTTATTTTACATTAATAAATGAATTATCAACAAGAGAAAAGAAATTCAGTAATAAGACAAGATAATGTAAGAGGCTCTATTAATTAACCATTATAATCTCCTCAACAACAAGAAGTTATTTAAAGCAATGAAAGACATACTGGGTGTATAGAGAGGATGAGGATACTAACATAAGAATTGCAACGAATGACAGAAGCATTAAGATAAAAAAACCAAGAAGTTTTGTATTTGTAATAAGAATTACAATATGCTAAACAAAATTAGGTAAAAGATACAAAAATTTATATTTATAGTAAAATAATCAAGGTAATGAAGAATTACTCCAAAAATTGCAGTTGGAAAGGTAGAAGTTAGATCAATTCAAATAAATGAAAGATTAACAATTAGGAGAATTAGAAACAGAACTAAATAAAGTACATAAAGAATTGAAAGACGAAAGATTATAGAAGCTTGAATATGTAAATCGTTATTAGAAATAATGTGATGAAGTAGTAAGATTGTAAAAAGAACTGGAAAAAGCAAATCAATAAACTATGAATTCAAATGAAATAGATTAATTGCATGCACATATTGATGATTTACAGCATGAAAATGATGAATTAAGATTAAATATGAATAGTCTCTCAAACAAAGTCTAACAATAGCAATAATAAATTGCCATTTTGGAAGATTAACTAACCCAATAATAATCATTCCAATCATCAAAATTACCTCCATCAGGACCTACAAGTTATTAAATACCACAAATGTAATATTAATAGCAACTTTAACCTCAGACATCAAATTATTAGAAGACAACTACCTACACTGTTGAGAGTAAAGGAACAAACAAACCAACTGAAGTTAAGAAATAAGTAGTCTCAACAGTCAACGGAAAAACTGATATTTATGAATATTCTTCATAAGACCCTCTAAATCCTAAAGAGTCTATAAATTCTAAATTTGATTAGATTAATTAGAAAGTCAACTAGAATTTTGAAGTGAGAAATTCATAATTGCAAAATAATATATCTGCTTCCTAATTGCAAAGAGGATCTAAATATTTACCTGAAACATATCAAAAAGAATTCACAGAATTTAAAAGCAAAATAGAAACTAAGCCTGTAACAGAGTATAAAACCACAACTGTTACCAAAACAAACAATAAATATTAAAAATATTGAAGATCATTAAAATATTCAGTATATATTATTAAAAATAATCATTATATATAAGGTGATTATACCTTATTAGTGCTTGTAAACAATCTATAAGATAAAGTTCTTGATTATTTTGTCTTAGGAGTAAAATATCCATCTACTAATGAATATTTTTTTGGATATGCATTTGATGTTCTTGTTGAAAATTTGAATGGTGAAGAGTAGATTATCGTATTATTAGTTATCGAACGAGTCTTTTTATTTGACAAATTCATAGCAATATTCTTAGTATCAGATCTCTCCTTTTAAGAGGAATATTATTGTGTTGTATCTACCCTTAAAATATTAATTTTTTCAGTTTATTTAATTTAATTGAATTATGTTTAAATTAAATTTGGAGGTTGTTTATAAATCTTTGCTTTGAATAATTATGAAATATTTGGTCTTAGTTAATCATCATATTATAATAAGCTGACGACTAAGTTTATCAAAGATTAAGAATAATAATAAAATGCAGATCCTAATATATTTAATATCTACTAATAATGTATTACTTCTTTATAGAAATCAGTATACTTTGTTACATCTTAAAATTATTTTTATAATCATAAATATTACCTTTACCACTCATTATCGATACTAAAACAATTCCAAATTGGTATGAATCCTATTTAAAAGGGTTTATTTATAGACAAGCTAAATGGTTTTAGTAATCATTCATCTATTAAGGACTCAAAGAAATATTTGAATTATAATTTCCTAATGTTTATGCATAACTTGATAATATGTTTGGTAGAGCACCGTGATACTAAATTAATTTTAGTTCATACCAAAATTTTTACATTTTAATTTTTATCAAAAAAGAGACTATCAAAGTTAATATTGGAGTGAAATTTGTTCTAACTTTCTAGATAACCAAAAACATTCGAAATTTATTTAATTAACTAATAGAATGATTAATTATTACTTTCCAGATAAATGACTCTGTAACATATTAACCATTCTATTAAAAATCTTAAAGCACCTTTGATAAATTCGTTGATTAAAATTCATAGTAAATTCTATATTCTTTTAATGTTCCTTAAAATGTTTGCTCTTTAATTGTACAACCATAATATTTCAATAAATGTTCATGCTTGATTTATTATCTTTATTTATGCTAAGAATGTATAAAATTTTTATCAATATCAATCTAAATAATCTGTATTTACTTAATGAAATTCTATACTTTTGAAAATAGCCACTCTAAAGGATTAGATTTGTTCTTCCATATTTGAATCTATCCCAAATACTTATGCTGCTTAGAACTAATATATGTAAGGTTATCTCTCAACAAACTTATATTTGATGATATGTAGTCTTCACTTTCTAAAACAATAGTATTTCCCATTTTGAAATTTAACTTAAATTAATTAACTTTAAACAATACAATATTTAATGATAAAAAAATTATAATTATGTAAACTAATTAGTTATAGTTAAAATTGATCATTCAACTTTCTATTTATCATCGTCTTAATTTTACTATTTCAAATTATTTTAGGTTTATTTTTTTTTCTTTTCTCCTAAAATTTCAACTTCATAATCATGTTCTTCTCTAAACCCTGAGTTAGATTTTTCAAGTCCTAGACATTTGCTCATTATATCCTTCACTTTATCAGCATATATTTCCCACTAAAAATTTAATAAAATTATTTACTCTTTTTTCTTCAGGATACTATTCCAACTTTAAATAAGTAGGATCATAAAGCCCTTCAAATTCAATTATTTCTAATTCATTTTTCCACTAAACCAAAGACAATAATGTGGTTGCTAAATTAGAAAATTATAGTACCATAAATGCCTATACAATCCATTGCTACACTAAACCTTCTTGGAGAATACTTTAAACAACATATTTTTATTGGTTGTAATGGTTCAAATGCACCTTTCTTGAATGATAAAATATAATTTCCATTAGAAGTTGTTCCTTCGGGAAAAATCAACACTGGAGGAAATAGATGTCCTTAATTTATCAAATTCACTCTATTCAAAATGTCTAACATCACTTATTTTCTATTATTTGCATTTTCCCTTTCAACAAATATGCTTTTGAGATTTGTTGTAATCCAACCAAAAACTGGGTAATCCTTAACTGTGTCTTTAGAAACAAATGATGGCAAATATTTAAAAACGTAGGTAATTGTGTCATACCAGCTAACATGATTTGATACAATTATTGATGGTTAACTTAGAACATTAATTTAGGTTTACACATAGGCTTAATCATAATCAGAATATCTAAATTGATCTATAATTCTTACTTCACTACTCTTTGTTTTATTTGGTAAAAACCTGAAAAAAATAAGTAAGCTCTAGCTAAAAATTAAAGTGGTTATCTCAAAAACTTATATCTATTAGCAGGCCATGGATTTTCTAGTTTAAAGTCTATTATAAATTATATGACAATTTATGAACCTTTTGTTGTAACAAAAAAAACAAATGCAAAAGCAAATAGCGATCCTAATACAAATATTAATCTAAGTGGTAATAAGAAAATGGCACCAAAATAGATCTCTAATTTGTTCCAATTTTTATAATCTCTTCTTCTAAATGGCTAAAACTTTTCTGGAATATCTGATCTGTGATATTTAGGATCTTCATATTTCTTTAATAAGGATGAATAAACGTAGATTATTAAAGGACAATAGACTACGATATAGAGGAGGAGTAATAATTCAATCATTTAATTTATGTAAAATTTTGATTACTTTTCTTCTGATATTTAAATGGAAAATTAGTATGTATGATATTAAAAATAGAGGCAAAAATGACATACTAAATTTGCCACCTATTATCAAAATTTCTTAATTGTAATAATCATTGAATATTTGATAAATCCATCATAATTGTCAATTAATTTATTTTACACGAATGATTATAATTAAAATAAGAGTACATCTATAAAGCCAATTTAAAATTAATATTAATATATCACACTAAAGAATAGTTTTTATTTTAATAATAAATTAGATTAAAGCTAATCATTTTATATATTTCTCTTCTTTATTTTTTAATTCACAAATACTTAAAAAAAGATTTCTAATACAATATTCTAAAATAATTAAATTAATAAATGTTTTCAAATTATAAATTTCATTTTTTTATGTTGATCATAGATAGAATCATCATGATTGCTAATAAAATATACAATATATATTTATTATATTTCGCCATAATTATAAATTATAAATAGCATTAGTTTAAAATAGTAAAAGTATCTTAAATTATTTTTTTTTTTAAATAATTTATATTTGTTTGTAAGAAAGATTATTTTTATTTAAAATAGACTATGAATATAATATTGAAGTAGAACAATAAATAGAATATTTAACAAAAATAAAAATTTAAGTTATTTTTAAAGAATGCAATATTCTTATTCATAATTTCATTAATAATGAGAAATAGTTGATAATAATTTCTTAAATACTTTAAATAGCTTAATCATAATTCAAATTAAACTGAATAAATATAAAAACAATAATTTGTATAACTAATTGATTTAAAAATTATTTATATTAAGATAAATTATTGTTAATAATGATAAAATACGATAATTAATTTTAATAAGAATGATTAAAAATTTAGTAATATAATTTAATAATATGACACTTATTTTAAATATATCAAAAAAAAATTGTGACTATTAAAAATAAATAATATCATTTAAAAAGTTAGGATAATTACTTTTGAAATTAAATTTAAATATTATTATTTTTATTCTGTTAATATAGATAAACCAAAAAATATATCATTTAATATCTATTAATGAAGTTAAT